CTGAAATATAACGTCACACTGTCACCAACCAAGATGAAATATACTGTCACACTGTCACCAACCAAGATGAAATGTCACGTCACACTGTCACCAACCAAGATGAAATATAACGTCACATTGTCACAAACCAAGATGAAATATAACGTCACACTGTCACCAACCAGGATGCACTGAAATATAACGTCTCACTGTCACCAACCAAGATGAAATATACCGTCACATTGTCACCAACCAAGATGAAATATAACGTCACACTGTCACCAACCAGGATGCACTGAAATATAACGTCACACTGTCACCAACCAAGATGAAATATAACGTCACACTGTCACCAACCAAGATGAAATATAACGTCACACTGTCACCAACCAAGATGCACTGAAATATAACGTATGTCACCAACCAAGATGAAATATAACGTCACACTGTCACCAACCAGGATGCACTAAAATATAACGTTACACTGTCACCAACCAAGATGAAATATAATGTCACACTGTCACCAACCAAGATGAAATGTCACATCACATTGTCACCAACCAAGATGTAATGTCACGTCACACTGTCACCAACCAAGATAAAATGTCACGTCACACTAGTGTTGTCAATCGGTTGTAATTTCGTAATCGATCATCGGTTGGACCCAAGTAACCGATGATCGGTTACAATCGGTTACTCGGGGTGTTGAATGCCTGCGTGTGCGTAACGTCATGTGCATGTACGTGTGTGCATGTATGTGCTTGTTTAGCCCTGTTTACTGTTTGTTTTGCACTGTTTACTACTGTGTGTATAATACATGTATGTTATACAGGATAACTTGTATAGTAGCTTGTATACTATGATATCTCTGATTCTCATCACTTTTTCGAAAAAAATTTTGTTTTCAATTTTTTCTTTTCTTTTTCGATGAAATTGATTATGGATTTTGATAACCAAGCGCTTGGTTCGAGCCACTGTTCAACCGATGATCGAGTATAATCGATGATCGTGACATCACTACGTCACACTGTCACCAACCAAGATAAAATGTCACGTCACACTGTCACCAACCAAGATGAAATGCCACGTCACAGTGTGTCATCTTCCGTTGTTGTCGGCGAACATAACATGAATGTTTATACAAGAAGAAGAATTGTATCGGAATTTAGTCCTATTTGTTCGAATATATTTTCTGATAATAATTTTCTACATTATTGTCTCCTACATTTATCCTAAATTGTAAAAAAAAATATTGTCGTTCATTAATCCATTATTATTATTATTATTCATTAATTAAGCCATGTATGTTAATTATTTTGTCGTTAAGGCATGTATGTTAAATAATTTGTCGGTAATATTGTTCAAATCATTGCCTTGTGTAAATCATTTCCGGTATAGTATTGTTTTCAAGCACATTTATTTTCGTATATATATATATATATATACATCATTTGTACTAACTGCACGAAAAACAGTCTTGATTTATTGTCGTTGATTTTAGACACCGCCAATTTTTGCGTTCTTTTCCCGCAAAACCTTTTATAGGCGGCGCCACCGGCATAACACGACAGACACGAACGTACACTGACTGCAACCTTACACTGCTTGCTTGTTACCCCCCCCCCCCACACACACCCACGGAGGTTTTTATTAACATAGAGATCTATAAAAGCAACCTAGAGTAACGTGTAATATGCGGTACACGCTTTCGCCAGCAATATTTTACACGCGATCATACGCGCACACAATATACACGCGTATATATCAAAGATATATTTGTGACATACGATCTGGTCTCGCCGTGTGTGGCACGTGTGAGCAATGATAGATGCGCTGCATACGTGAATACATGCATGCACCGTCATGCGCTTCTTCCGCGTGGAAGTTTTAACCTCGAATCAGGGTCAGATTTGCAGCCGATATCGATCTAACATCGCGCGTCTATCACGTGTAAAGCTTTACGAACACGTGATGGATTCGCGATGTATCGGTGTTAGATATATTGATATTATCAAGAGTGACCCTATCTCCTATTATCTACTCTTGATATTATGCGTATATTAGCTTCCTGTAGCGGCGACGCGAAATCACGTGAACACACGGGAATGCGACGAGAATTTGCGAAATCAGCTTTGGTGTTACTGCAGTCATGCAGAATGCGATTCAAACATGGCGCCCTTTATCAGCTGGCTTAATTGCGTAGTCGTTCGCACATCCCTCGCCGGCAGCGTGAACTGCTGTAGGTACTGCGCTCATGCTTCGCCGGACTGGCACCGCTGATAGCGACTCAGGCCTCTCACGATCCAGATCCCGATCAGCTTCTCTCGGCCGCGATGCTCTAGTACTGGCTCGCGGATTCGGATCGGTATCGGCTGCCGACGACGGCCGGTTTCGACTTCGTCTGCGAGCCGTAGGTCGCCGATGTCGTAAGCTTTGCCGACGCCGAGGTCACCAAAGTTGCCGACGAATCCACCGTCGTGTCCGGCGTAGCTAGAGTCGTCGCCGCAACCGCCGTAGTCGCCGTTCAAAGCTTCGTGGCCGACGTCGGAGCCTGCATAACCGCATGCGTAACCTTCGTTGTAACCTCCATAACCCTCGCCGTGACCCCGTAACCGCCTCAGTCCGTGATCTCCGTGATCTTGGTAATCTCGGAGCCTAGCTACAAATACAATGGGACCTACGACTACTATGGATCCTGGGACCGTGGCTACGCCGCCGCCCTACTAAAGTTCCCTAGTCACTGGATCAGTAGTCACGGATCCGTAGCCTACGACTGCGACGGTTGGTACGAAGATGGTTACGGAGGTCACGGTGGAGACCCCACTCTCTCGCTCTCTCTCTCTCTCTCGCTCTCTCTCTCTCTCTCTCTCTCTCTCTCTCTCT